TGCGACGCAACAATTTATCTTTCTTTCTGATATGATAGTTCCTTTCATTTTCACTATTGTTCTTGTAAAAAATCTATTCTAACGAACAAGTTCCATTCAACTGACTTGGAATACATTATATAAAACAGAGAAACATTAGAAAAACAAAACCAAGCGTAAACAATAACGATCTTCTCTTCATATGGTGTACGAATACTTTCGTGCCTACATTTTTGTTACGTAATGAACAATATTTTGTTTATGAATTATACATAATGTTTCAGTTTAGTGAATTATAATGTAAAGTATATTTATCAAGGATTATACTAATGTATGTAGATTGTAATGCATAATTTTGAATTTAATACTAATTGAATAAGCAAAATATGTATGTTCTCTTATTTTACCAATATACTGATTATATTCAGATCGATGTACAGTATTTTCTCTATACAGGGTGTTCGGCCACCTCTAGCAAAAATTTTAATGAGCGATAGTAGAGGCCAAAATAAGACGAAAATCAAGAATACTAATTTGTTGATGGAAGCTTCGTTAAAAAGTTATTAACAATTAAATTCAAAAATTTCAAATTGTTCTGGAAAAATTATTTTCGGTTGCGGGGGTCAACTACAATCATTTTTGGTGAGTACACATACCTCCGAAATCCTATCTACTTTCGAGAAAAAAAATCGAGTAGGTGCTGAAATTTTTCGGCGAAAAAAAATTTTTCAAATCGTTTTAAAAAAATTATTTTCGGTTGCGGGGATCAATTACAATCATTTTTTATCATTACACATACCTCCGAAATCGTACGCACTTTCGAGAAAAAAATTCCTTACTGAAAATCCAATTAGGTGTCTAAATTTTTCAACGGAGAAAAAAATTGCAAATCGTTGTGGAAAAATTATTTTCGGTTGCGGGGGTCAATTACAATCAGTTTTTGTCATTAGACATACCAACGAAATCCTGCCCACTTTCGAGAAAAAAAATAGAGAAGGTGTGAAATTATTCGAGAAAATTAAAAAATTGCAAATCGTTGTGGAAAAATTATTTTCGGTTGTAGGGTTCAATTACAGTCATTTTTGGTGAATAGACATACCCCCGAAATCTTGCGCATTTTCGAGAAAAAAATTCAGTAAGAGCGGCACTTTAAACGTTAATAACTTTTTAACGAAGCTTCCACCAACAAATTAGTATTCTTGATTTTCGTCTTATTTTGGCCTCTACTATCGCTCATTAAAATTTTTGCTAGAGGTGGCCGAACACCCTGTATAAGCTCGGAATTCGTCCACGATATAGGCAAATATCGTATCCCCTCTACTTATCCCCACCGCGTACCATTACAACCCAGCACTCGCTGTATCGGCGAGTGTGCCTTCCTATGGGCGGTTCCCCAAGATAGCGGCGCGCTTAACGGTCCGTCGTAGAACATTGTCATACGATACGGGTTCAAATTACTAAGGCAACACTAATGCAATAATACAGATTTTTTATTTTTCCTTTTCTTGTTTTGAAACTTTTAACATATCTGCTGTGACAGTTTTCTGATTTAATTAAGATCAAGTACAACATAATTTTTATTATTATTTTTCATAAATTATAATATACATTTGTCCTTTCTTTGAAGTGGTATCCTCATCTGAAAAAAGGAATTGTAATTTAATTGACCTATCATTTATTTGCTGAAATCGTGAGACAACTCAAAGTAAAATAAGTTGGTTAAACAGTTCAAATTCGCAAGTTTTTGAGTACTATCACTATTGCAGTAAACGAGCGATAGGTACATATATATACTGAAGCTATGACACGATTTAACTAGTACATATACAATATTAAATCAACAACGAAATTTATCTTTATTTTTGTTCTTCCTTTTTTCAAACTTCATCAACATATTCGTGACACTTTTCTGATTAAAATGACACCAAATACGATATACAATTTAGATCCTATTTACCAACGCAATAAGCGATCAAAGGCATCATCGCTCAGGTGACTCCACGTCGGCTGTATCGTAACAGAGGCGATGTTTACGGGAGCCTATACAGAATCAGTATTTCATTCTGCGACCTTTACCAAGAGAGGTAGAGGTCGGAATTAGAACACCGATTTCGTATAGGCTCGCGTAAACATCGCCTGTTTCGTTACAGCCGACCCAAAGCGAAGGAAGCGATAGCAAATTCGGCGATTAAGAATCGTTTCTCGTCCACGCTATAATCGAGAGCGTCGCTTCTATAGAGACAATACTGTATATCATAATGACACTTTAAATTAAATTCCTTCAAGATATCAATATAGTGAAAACTCGATAAATGTCGCTACTCCGGGTCCGGTCAGCAACACTTACGGAATAGGAGAATCGTCTTTCGAATTTGATTGTAGTTTGCCGACGCTTCGAACGTAGAAAGAGTCAGTAGCTAAAGAAGAAAGAGGGACTGAAACTCGGATTTATCGCCCCAGTTTAAATATCCGCGTCAGTGTGACCACACTACTGCACAGAAGAAAGTTTTTTATTTTTTACTTTTTGTTAATAAAAATTTCACTATCATGTTGGGGAGATTTCTCTGATTAAAATGAGGCTAAACACGATATAAATCGGTCAATATTTGGTAGCATAATATTGAATTAAATATTGTACTTGCGAGTCTTTCTCTCTTTATTTATCCTTCTTGTGCTGTCCTTTTCTATGTTCGGAAATATCAAAGAACGACGCATCGAGGTGCTGGCTACATTTATCGAACGGGAGGTAGCTATTTTCAAACGGAACGGTTCCACCGTTTCGAAAGTGATCAAAAACTGCAACACTTATGAAATAGGGGGTTTCGTTAGCTACCACTGTTCGATAAATGTACCAATCCACTGACCTTGCGAAGATACGAGTACACAATATTTAATTCAATATTATGGTAACAAATATTGGCCGATTTATATCGTGTTTAGTCTCATTTTAATTAGAAAAATCTTCCCCACATGATAGTAAAATTTTTATTAAAAAAAAGTAAAAAATAAAAAACATTCTTCTTGTACAGAAGATTTTTAAAGAAAGCCGCTACGTCTCCGGTTACACTTCGCCTCACTGGTTCAAGGGGGATCCCCCTAGTGGTGGGGAAAAAAATGTATCATTTATGGAACAGCTCTTGAGGATATTTATCGAGTTTTCACTGTACATACTTTGATTATAAATGAAATATGAAACTTTAGCTTTTATATCTATCTAATTCCCATCTTAATTGAAAAATTCTATGTTCTTATATAGATCTTTTCTTAATAATTTTAGAATGTGACATAATTTAATTTTGTATTTCTTGCAAGATAAAAGAGGAATGTATGTTATATAATAACACAAGATTTTAATATTTTAGGAAAATTAATTTCAAGGTTTGGTCGTTGAAGTCATCTATAGATCCGCTATTCTACTAAGAATACAAAAATATAGTGTATATTAAAAAAGAAAGAAATTTCTGAAAATTCTCTAATTATACAAAAATTATTACAATCGTATTGTGGCCTTGTCCATACTATACAATTTTTCTAAAGAAAGTTTTTCCATATCTATAAAAATAAGGAAAATATTCAAAGTGATTAAAGTTAAGTATTGAATTATCTTTAAAATATGTGGTACATATAGGGTGTTCGGCCACTCCAGGGAAAAATTTTAATGGGAGTTTCTAGAAGTCAAAATAAGACGAAAATGAAGAATACCAATTTGTTGATGGAGGTTTCTTTTACAAGTTATTAACGTTTAAAGTTCTGCCCGTACTGAATTTTTTTTTTCGAAAATGGTTAAGATATCGGGGGTATGTCTATTTACCAAAAATGCTTGTAATCCAACCTTGCAACCGAAAATAATTTTTCCAGAACGATTAGAAATTTTTTAATTTTGTCGAAAAATTTACACCATCTCGAATTTTTTTCTAGAAAGTGGGAAGGATTTCAGGGGTATGTCTATTGGCGAAAAATGATTGTAATCGACCCCTGCAATGGAATATAATTTTTCCAGACTGATTTGAAATTTTTAAATTTCGCCGAAAAATTTAGGCACAGACTCCCTTTTCGATTTTTCTTAAAAATTCGTTTTTCATTTTTAATTACTTTGATTGACGCTGGGCGGAAAAGTTGTCTAATACTTGTTTGTAGGTATCCATTGGCTCTGCTTTAGAAAAAATTTTCAATGAGATCCATTCACTATTGTTGGAGTTATGGCCGTTTGAAAATCATTTTTATGGAGGTTTTCTCACTTTACGATGCCAAAGAACAACTGTTTCAATATTGTCAGAATTTCTACATATTCTCCACTAAAATGCGCGGTGTTTGCATTTTGAAAAATTAAAATCCTCCAATCCGTTCAGGAGTTATGACATTTTAAAGATTCGCATCAGAGAAGCAGCATTTCTGGCCTCACGTTAGATTTTTGGTAAGGAATTTTTTTCTCGAAAGTGCGTAGGATTTCGGGGTATGTCTATTCACCAAAAATGTTTGTAATTGACCTCTGTAACTAAATATAATTTTTTTAGTATGATTTGAAATTTTTTAATAACTTTTTAATGAAGTCTCAGTCAAGAAATTGATATTCTTGATTTTCGTCTTATTTTGGCCTCTAAAATCTCGCATTAAAATTTTTCCCAGTGGTGGCTGAACACCCTGTATAGTAGAGTTGGTCGACTTCTTCACAGGTATTTTCACATACACTGTACACTCACTTTCCATCTACACTGTAGACTCACTCCACAAACAGCCACATTCGTCTTACTGCTTTTCCCCGTAGCATATTTCTGTCCGCGTGGAAGGGACGTTTTGTATGACTCCATTTCTGAAAATTTGACTTTCCTACATTATATAATCATTTTGAAACAAATTCAGTATTTATCGAGATTAACTAAAATCGGTCTGCTAAGGTATTGTTTACTTCTCTATGATTGATTTATACGAAAAACGTCATAGGAATGCAGATTAAATTTGATATGCGTTATGTTTTCTCCATATTGGAATATAATGAAGACTGTTCAATATGTTTGTTTCAGTGGATTCAAGGAGTACTTGGAGTGCTCGCATCATACGACTCGCCGACACTGTGGCGATGACGCAGCTCGGTTTACAAAGGACTTCTTTGACAGAGTATCGAGCCCGCTTCTTAGGGTAAATATTTGCCACCCCTGGTTGAGTAGAGACTGTCGTTACTGCTTTGAGATACGTTCGATCATGTAGCAGCAGAGCATCGGTGAAGATGTTCAAAATATATATTTGGAAGCTTAAAATATGTTTTATAAATCATAAGCGCCTAAATTACCTAACATACATATATAACGTTTTTACAGTAATTACAATACTGCAATAATACATTTTTGATCCCCGATGTTACAATTACAGACTTTCTTAATGAAAGCTTCATAGATGCTCACTGACGGATGGAAGTTATTATTTTGAAAAACTGTCATACAGAAAATATACACGTATAGGCAGTAATGCATTTCTTTATACGTAATAACTAAGAATACTTTATCTTTAATTATATATGATATGTAAAATGTACGAGTGATGATTTATAACTAATAACTAATAGCGTCCTTAATTGAATCCGAAACTACGATTTTTGTACATCTTCAGATTTACAAAATAGGTTTACGAACAAGATAATTGATGAACGAAGTATATTAACATGTACTTTGATAGTATATTAATAAAATGCTGAGTGATGTAAACATTAGGTTAATAACAACATATAGCTGTAACTTGCCTTCAACTTTTACATATCATATTTGATTTAATCTTTCACTTCATATTTTACACAACTCTGGAGCAATAAAAACATGTTATGTATTATTATAGATAACATAGATTTTAACTATTAAAGATTGTCAGAGCACGGAGGTTTTATTAATAACAGTAAATGACATTTTATTGAAAAATTACTTTTAAATAAAAATCTAAATTTTTTATGGGAAACAACAATATCTATGACGAGGATAACGAGAAAGTTTAATTCAGTAGATTTTTTATAATTTGTCGTAATTGATAAATTGAATATTTAATTAATTTAATAGGTGCTTATATTTATTTTTTAACATACTATTATAATCAGTACGATAAATATAAAATCAGTATTAATAACATATTTATTTCATGTGACTTGTATATTGTTGCAAATTTATATTCTTGATTGAATTTCGATTTCACTAATGAAACTAATAAAATTTAAGAAATGATTGCCTACTTTACTAATTGGGTATGCAGTATTCGTTGGAGTCGTTCTAGTTTTGTCACAGTATTATTTTGTGTCACAGTATTGTTTTAAAATTGAATAACAGTTTTGGTGTATGTTCAGTGCGTACCATAAATGGTATCATCGATTGACAATTTAAAGAATTCGATCTTTTTAAAATAAATTGTACCATAATAGTATTTTGTATTGCTAAGTAGTACCATAAAAATAAATATTCAAAAGCAATTTTATTACGTTAATATAATTAATAATTTAAATAACCAAAAATACTATTTTATCAGTGTCTTCTTATAAATTACCAACTGCAAAGAAAACTCATTTTATTTCGAATCTTACGTACAAAAACAAAAATTTAATAATTTATTATATTTATTTCACCACGAATTACATTTAATCTCATGCTAATAAATCAGGGTGACCTAAAATTTTCAACTTTTTTAATGCTTTTAATGAAATTACAATTATTTATACAAAATACATGTTAATAACGTGTGTTTTCTCCCTTTGTTTCGATTAATATTTGTATTCTTTCTGGCATGTTATGTATATGTACATCGTTTGATCATATTTTTTATATCTTCGCTGTTTTGCCAAACATCTATAATCCTTTCTTTCAAATCGATTATTGTAGTGTTAAGGGACGCATATACAAGTGTTTTAAGTAAATTCCAAACATTTTCTATTGGATTCATGTCGGGTGAGTTGCTTGGTGATCTGAGAAGAGGAATACTTTCGGATGATAACAAGTTCATGGTTGATTTTGCCCTATGATACGGTGTTCCGTCTTGCATATACGTACAGTGACTACCATTTAAATGCTTTAAAGGAAAGTTGATTTCCATTTACCAATTTGTTAAAAATCAACATTAAATAAAATAATTCAGTTGAAATTGAGAGTCCACGTAAGGGTTAAAGTCAATTTATAAGCTGAGAACGAATGCTCAACATTACAAGATGTGATTGTGGCGTATTTGAACTTGCTGAAATGACATGCTTTAATTGTTTTAGTTCCTTTAATAATCTGTCCTCAGAAAATTCGTTTACTTAGAACCCATCTGCCAAGAATATTTCAGAATTACTGATTCACGAGATGTATAAATAGCTCTGTTGCCATGTCTGCCATGATTGTCGTATACAAACGTTGAATTAGTAGACTTAAATAGATGTTCGGAAGCCTATATAAGCATTAATTTGATGAAAAGAAATGCGATAAACATATATGACATATGTTTTTATGTAAAATATGCAAAACATATGCCATATGTAAAATAAAAAATATATTTTTAAGGACCTCTAGCGATGAAAGAAACATCTATTTAGGTTTCACTCTTTTATCTATTTTCTAGGAACGTATACATTTGCTGCATAAACATCAACAGTCTATTCATCACAGATTGGGGATATTTCACTGATTGTTGTACACAATCTGAATGGTACTGCTCATTTGGCTGTCTTCTCATAAATTGAGCTCTATCTGTAACTGTTTTTAACTGTATTTCGTCGCTAAATACGACCTATTGAGTTTATCAAAATTTGTAAAATTTTAGTAATCTCTCTAAGATGACAAAATCTTTGCATAAATTGTAGTAGACTAAGGATTTATATACATTGTAGTAGACTAACTCGCTTGGCAGTTCGTAAGCGACTGCGTAGGGCCCGGCTCGCCAGCGGCAGGCGGCTTCGCTTGTTTCTACGATCGGTTATCGTATCGATACACTATAACTCGGCCTATCCTGACCAACGATTGCCCTCAATCGTTCCGCTTATGTTGGTCATGATAAAGTTAAGACTAAACAAAGAACACTGATTTATCACTAAAATAATCTGTGAAGTCAAACTATAAAATAAATTAAATTCAATCCTGAACATACTTCCACGTACCCAAAACATTCACCCATTACACAAACTATTTATGAAACAAAATATTAGCGCTTATTGAAATATACACACGTTTTCCGCGTACTTAATCTAATCTTAAGCTAAACTAATATTAATCTTATTCTATCACTTCTCTACATTTGGTTGTATCCACAATCTCATATTCTCCGGTGAGCAAATACCTTCAAATGGCAATTGTGTCAATTGATGTCCTTCCGGATCACGTATAACGTAACGGTTTTTGTCCAATACTTTCGAAATTTGATACGGTCCTCTAACTTTCGGTAACAATTTTTTATTTACGCCAGGCGTAACATCCACATTTTTAATTACAACATAATCGCCTACTGAATATTGTTTTGGATATTTGTGTCGCTTATCGTAATAACGTTTATTATATTCATTGGTTGTCTGTATTCTCGCAACTGCATTTGCCCTAATTGTATTTAAATCCCGGTTTTCAGATTCCTCTATAATATTACGTAAATCGTCGTTAATTTGACCGATTTGATTTATCTCAAACAATAATTTAGACGGTGTATCTCCTATGCTACGATTCAACGTATTATTTACAGCATATTCTATCCTACTTAACACTTCATTCCACGAACTTGTTGTTGAACTTAATTTTGACAGCATTGGTGTAAGTGATCGATTAATCCTCTCAATTTGCCCGTTAGAGTGTGGAGTTGCCGTCGCAATCAAAACATGCTGAATTCCAAATTCTGCTACAAATTCTTTAAATTTATTAGATGTAAAAGCACTACCTCTGTCTGATACTATCTTTTGCGGTCTGCTATAATTAGAAAAATATGTTCGTAAACGTTTAATTGCTTCATCTGCATTCGTGGTCACTGTCGGATAAAATTTTACAAACTTCGTAAATGCATCTATTGCTTCAAAAATGTATTTATGACGATGTTTCGTGCGTTCTAATGGACCATAATAATCAATATGTATGCAATAAAATGGTACTGATCCTTTTTCCGGACACTGCAATATCCCCTCTACACGATTTGCATTAGTTGAATAGGTAATACATTTCAAACAGTTCATTATAAATTTTTGTACCTTCGCCTTTTTATCCGGGAACCAGTAAACTCGCGAAATATACTCAACTGTTTTATTTATCCCTTGATGGCCTACTTCCTCATGATTTGTGCGAATTATATTTTCTTCCATCGAGGCGGGAACATAAAATAATAACTTATTATTAATTTTCCGATAGACTAAACCGTTATTTAACTCAAAAAATGTATTCTCATTGTGCAACAACATATCGTGCAATTTATTAATTTGGGAGTCTTGATTCTGTAATATCGTTAAATTTCGTTCAAAACTATTCTCTGTAATAATCAGTACACTGAATTCTCGACTTAAAAGCATCTGCATGAACTAATTTGTCCCCTGGTCTGTGTTCCAACGTGTAATCATAATTTCTTAAAATAAGTGACCATCGCAAAATTCTCGGATTAATTTCTTTGCGCTCTAAGGTTAATTTCAGACTCTGACAATCGGTTACAATCTTAAATTGAATTCCTTGTAGATAAATTCGAAAGCGTTCCAGGGAATAAACTATAGCCAAGGCTTCAAGTTCAAAACTATGGTATTTTGATTCGGTTTTACTCGTGCGCTTACTAAAGTAGCATATAGGATGGAATTTTCCATCTACTTGTTTCTGCAATAAAACAGATCCGAATCCATGGCTACTTGCATCGCAGTGCAATTCGGTTTCCGCAAGTTGCGAATAGATTGCTAAAACAGGTTCCGACATCAATGTTTCTTTAAGTATTTCAAAACAATGTAACATTTGGTCATCCCATTGGTAAGAGGTTTTGGATTTTAATAAGTCGTATAATGGTTTCGCTTGCAACGCAAAATTTTTTATAAATTTTCGAAAATAAGAAACTAATCCTAGAAAGCTTTGTAATTCTCGGTAATTACGCGGTATCGGATACTCAGCAACAGCTTGTATATTGGCTTTATTCGGTCGAACTCCCGCAGAATTTATACAATACCCTAAATAAATAATTTCTTC